AAAAAAAAACATCAATGCATGAATCAACCCATAGAAAACCGTAAGTTCTTCATGACCAGATCAAAACCTCTCAACTACGCATTCTCGTGGAAGTCCTATTTCTGTCTAGGCCGAAGCACGCCGCCTCTTCCGGTAGTCCGTGCTCACCACATCCTGCATATGCAGTCTCATAAGCATATACGCAGCCCTTGCATCGTTCGTGAGTGGTAACTGGGAGCTTCGCCGTTTGGAACGATAAGCTTCCTTCTTTTCTTTGTCAGAGATATCAAGTAATGAACCTCCAAACTCGCGTCCATGCTCTGTTTCGGGGTCAGCTTCAGCGCCGATGTCACCCTCGCCATCCTCATCGTTACTATCATTGTCCGTATCATGATAAGAGTCGCCTCGTGTTACTAACTCCGCAGGCGTGCTGGCTGTTGAAACCTCAGACTTAGGCTCTTTCCCCAGGTCTGCATCTTGATGCATTTTATTTGCCCACTTTGAGCTATTATTCTGTAGGTTATTAAGAGATGCGAGTATTTCATGGGGGGAGGGTATTTTGCACCGGAAAGTACCAGGAGTCCGAGGTGTGCTCGCTGGAGCGCAGATATTCATTCGCGGCTTTGACTGAGAGAGACAGAATGCGTCGCTCGTGCCAGTGTCGATTGTATATTCCCTATCCTCTCCAACACCAGCTCCAAGTCCAACTCCCGCTTCTCGAGCAGGTGCAAGTTTTGGTCGAAGTTCTTTCTTGCTCCATCGAGTTGGGTTCGCAGTTGGCTGCTGGTAAGAGTTAAGGGGAATTTTTTTTGACATTCCGTTGCGGCCTTCGAGGAGTCGATATTTTCTTGCAGAATTTGTAGCATCTCTCACAATAGATGGGTCGATGACCATGCGGCCAAATCTAGAGTCCTCTGGGGGAATGCAAATGGACAGAAACTCAACGCCAAAAAGTGGTGTCAGGGCATAGCGGATTTTCCAGCAGAATGTGGCTGCGACTGCCTTGGCGGCCTCGAATGGCATCCAATATCCTGATGATGATCAGCGCTGCTAATATCAATACGCTATAGAGAATTTTCTGACCTTGAGCTGCGAGTGCTCCCCCTGTAATACTATGACAGATTTCACGGAGGCCAGGGTTTGCGTTCAGCATCTTCGCTGGGGCTGTCTGTGAAGGCACCAGCGTGAGTTTTCAAAGACGTGATAATCCTATAGATTACGAGTGTACCTTTGAATAGTTATTGCATCTAAAGAGGGAGGTAGTTCGAACCAGGCCGATGTTGTAGTCCCACATAACGGTGTATGTCTTCTCGTCACCAGGAACTTTGAACGTGTATTGAAACACTATGACCTGTCAGATCACGGAATAACCTCAAATATTCGTGGGACAAAGGACAACTAGAGTGAGAAATGAGAAGAACAGTGTTCATACCTTCAAAACTTTCCCGCCCAGTCTCCTCCAGAAATGATTTTTTTTCGCTGTTATACGGTATATGCCTCGGATATTCAATTATATGGCCCATGGGGTGAATCTGAAATTCTCTATGCGCTTCTGCAAGCTCTTTACTCTGATGCTCGCATGGAGGATATCTTAGCTCCCCCCGTACTCTCCCTCTGGTGAAGACTGCTGCATCCTTCGAAATCTTCTGTTTCTTCTGTCTTGGAGGCGGTGACTGGCGGTACTCTCTGGCAAACCGACTGGGGCATGGTGTGGGGAGTTGTTGACGATAACTCTCTCGCTTCTCGGGCTCAGGATTGAGGAGGGAGGCGATGGATGCCATGATAATGGAGGAAATACCGAAGCGAAATCGCCGTCTGGAATGAAATAACAAATTTCCGTTTAACCAAGCGGTGTCATGCGTTTCTCTAATGAGATGCTCCCAGAATGAAGAGACAAGATGAGAAATAGAAAGGGAGCTTGGGCCAGTGGCGGGACAACTGTGTAATATCGAAAGCGAAAGAAAAGCATTGACAAACACTCAAACCACAAGCAAGGACGAGGGAGTAATTTAAAGCTGACTGGATTGGGCTGAAACAAGCAAATGAACTTCTCATCAGAGAATGACAAAAGGAGAGGGTAAACCGATCTAATCAGGAAGACAAGGCATAACGCAGATCGATGCATATAGTACTAAGAAAGCTTGTCGGCTTTTGGCATCATGACAGATGCTGAGAGTAAAGGGGTAAAAGCTCCTATACTCTACACCAAGCATATCCGGACCGATCCCTTTGTCAGAGTGTTCCGATTGCCCCGGGAGGGGGTTATGGTGTCCGGCTGTCTTGTTTAGGCGCTAAACTGGCGGCAGATCTGCCTGCTTGTTTGCAGGTTGCTAGTAACCACTTAGCTTCCTGGCTATATATCGAGGCAGGTTGGGCAAGCGGTGAACAAAATGAATATCCGGGTGTCAGGAAACACAGTGTGCATGTCTCAGAGGTATCACCCGAAAGAGAGTTCAACATCTCGCCCTGTCGCCAAGGGGCTCCTGATGTCGTCTGTTCAAAATAAAGTTCTGCTTCCATCAAACCTTGTAATCCTGTAATTAGCCACCAAATATTCTATCTTCCTCAGCCGAGCTGGTGGGAAATCTGGGGTCATGCAACACCATTCCTGCGATCTTTATCGTGGGAGCGATAAAGAAAGAATCAAAACAAATTGGTACACAGAAGAGCAGACCCTAATCAAAGGATAAGCATTAGCGTTCGTCCAGGCAAATTGCATCCAAGCTAGCCAGGAATGGGGCGCTCCCCATCGAGGCAAATCCGTTTCACTGACATTCTGCATTTACCCGCAAAACGGGTGAGGAGCGCCACCTATGTATTTCTCAGGTCTCTAGAATCTGGGCGTTTTTCGGGCAGCTGTTCCCATGGGCCATGGAGACCTTAAACCTGCTCCAGCACCGCTGGATGGATGCCCTACTGATATCCTGGCTTTTATCAGAGATTCACAAAAGGAAGGCATTGGATGACCTAGTGATAAGGATGGTCATGAGGAATAAACAATAAAAAGCAGTCAGGAAGATAGCATGGAATGACATGAAGCTTAGAATTAGGGTCCTGCATTCCCCCATGTTTTACCTGTCGAACATTCCTCTCCGTGCTCTTTTGATTCTCTATTTTGTTGCCACAGACAGATATTTTCTCGACTCAGACATCCCACCGCCAGAAGGGATGAAGAAGTTTAACCAGCATCACAGTACGCCCCCAGAAGTTAGTTTAGACCGGATTTCAGAGGCAAGATTAACCTAACTGAAAAAGGTTGAGAATTATATCGGCAAGGTACATTTGGTACAGCTCGTGTTACGGGAAGCCGCTGGCAGGTCAGACTCGCTAGAAAAAGAAAATGGAAAGCTGGGAGACAAGGAAGAAAGATTATTGGCCGGTGTATCGGAGAATAAACGAGAAGCGTGCGTATGGATCCACTCAGAGAGCGGCTGTCATTTTGTTTGGGCATCGTATGTGGGGGGGAATACACATGGTATCACAGGGCAGCTCTATATGCCATCCATGGCTTGTTAGAGAAAAACTCAGAATCATTTCTGAAGACTCGGGAACATGTGGTACTGTCAAGGATATCGTTAATAAACGCCTGCTTGACAGCAATTTTGAGATTGTAATGGCCAACTGCCCAAGGCAGCCACCGAGAGATAATTTTTTTTTTCCCCTTCCTCGCGGACATTGGAACAATAGCTAAGCCAAACAGTTAGACATGCTCTGACAGCCTGATCGATGTTTTCCCCGCTGATAGACGGTAATAGTCAAACACAGCAACTCCTGGAGAAAAGCGGTAGAAGAATTCTTCCCGATCCATGTTGCTGATGCAGCTACCCGTTGTGGTTCTTCAGGTACGGATCATCGTCTAAAAGATGGCTGCAATAATGGCCACTGAGAAGAAGGGCCAAGCAGATCACATAGATAAATGCAACTCATTGATTCGTCTCAAAGATATACCCAGCCCTAACGGCAAACTGGCAGGGGGGGGCGAATTGACTTGGTTTTCTTTGAAGCTGCTCTGACAATGATATTGGTAGGGATATCGGCCAAAGCTGCCATTGAATGAATGACTTGCTTCCTCCCACGGCCTTGGACTTAGAAAGAAATTTCTTTTTTGTAAATAAGCAAATAGCTGCTGTGTGGATTGTAAGAGGTAAGAGACATTTGGTGCTTGTTTGTGGTTGCGGACACACTCACCTCCCCAGGATCAATTGAAACCACAGTTTGAGAGGTTTGCAGGAGTTAGAACAATGAATTCACTGCATAGTTACTTGTAACAAAGAAGACCTCAAATGCTGCTGAGCTTGCTGATGAAGATGATCATTTGAAGTGGATGAATCTGATGTTGTTGACGTTGACGATGTTGAAAGAGTTAATTAACTAGTTAACTAGTTAGCCATGTGGGAAAAGAAGTGTGCAGTCCAATATTTCAAGGTCCACTCTCACCAATCAATAGTTCCAATTTATCCACAGTAACTAAACTACATACATACATAACAACTTCAGGACCTTAGAATTCTTGTTATTTTAGCTTGCATTCCCCTTAATTTTACCTCATTTCATTTTTCCCAGGGCCGGGGAACTGTGGCCGCCCGCTTGTCTCGTCCCGGCGTGTTGAACATTGCCAAAAGTACAGTTTCTTATCCACAACAACTAGTTACGAACGCAGAGGGTTGCGGGGGATGTAGGACAGGATGCACAGTACATCACCATATCTACATCCACATAGCAACCAGCAATTGCTGCAATCCAATTTATGCCAGAAAATAAAGATCCAATATCCATAAAATATAGGCCTGAAACTAGTAAATACAACATGCATCATAATTAAAAAGAACCTACAAACAAGCAACAAAACATGCAGTAATAAAACACTAAAAAGAAACTGAACCATATAAACAAGATGGGATAATAGGAAATTAATACCAAAAGTAAAAGAAATACACGCACCCAAAGACTACAAACAGCAAAACCATCACTCACAGACCTCAACCCAATCCCAGGCTAAAGAATAACACCAAGAAACTGCATTAGTCGATATCAGCAAATTCATCACTCGACCCATCATCAAAATCATCCTCATCTTCATCCTCATTGCTATCATCCTCAATTACATACGTAGGTTTCCTCGCCGTCGTTGCGGCCCGGCGAGCCGGACGACCTACCCTAGCCGGCGGACTAGCTTTCCTACTGGCCACTGGAGCAACTAAATCATCACTAGCATCCGAATCGTTGTGCTTCCTAACAGTAGGAGAGTCGAGGATGTCATTGGCCATTGCATCGATATCGTCATCGGAAAGCCCGTCAGCTAGCATCTTCGCTTTGGCCTTTTTCGCAGCATATGCCTTGGCTGCGGGGGAAAGAACTGTTTTCTTGGCTGGCGCTGCAGTGTGCTTGGCTGCAACCTTTTTGCCTTTGGACTGTGTTGTGCTGGCGGATGCTTTGTTTGTCTTTGCGGCGGCCTTTGCGGTACCAGCTTTCGCTTTGGAAGAAATCGATTTTGAAGTTACTGGCTTAGAGGGAGCAACTTCTTCCACTTCATTGTCCTCATCCTCATCATTGGAATGCTTTGAATCCTTCGGCTTCACCAGAAGAGACCTCCTGGGTGAATTCTGTGGAATCAACTTAGAGTAATCTGTTTCATCAGGATCAAACTCGGTATTAACGGCTTTGGGAGTTCTTGTTGTCGGTTTGGATCCAGCGCTGGTTCCAGGACGCGAAAGTTCAGAGAAGAGGGTTCGTGACTCGGATAATGGGTCAGCCGTCCCACCAATTCCTTTGACCATTTGACTAACATCTCCCAGCAAGTCGACGTTGTTATCACTGTCAGATCCAGTCGAATCATCGAACGTAATTGGTTTTCTATTTGTTTTTGCTTGACGTTGGGGTGTCCTCGAAATAATTTCCACATCCGAATTATCCCTGTCATTCAGCGGTACCTTCTGAGGCGGAGGAGCTGCTTTTCTAGGAGCCCTTTTTCCGGGCAAAGGCGCAGGCTTCGGCTCAACAAAATCGCTTTCATCTGAAACTGACCATTCCCGCTTCAAGGCTTGAGGATCCGATTTCTTCGAAGGCGCCACCATCTCCTCCAAATCGTTAAGTTTGCCTGGTTTACCAAGATTTATAGTGTCGGCAGGTTTGAGGGCTGGTGAAGCTGCTCTGGATTTTTGAGCAGGCATTACTTCTGGTTCGAATTCATCGAAATCACTCAACCCATCGAGCTCAACAAGTCTCGCTGCTTTGGATGCGGCAGCTCTTGGCTTTCTGAGTGGCGGTCTTTCTGATTTTCCTTCAACCAATTCACTCGCGTCATCTACACCCACGCCTTGAGCCGGTTTAGGATTGGGAGCAGGTTTACTAAGATAGCTGAGAAGATTGCTTTGGGGCTTTGCGCGATTAACCGTCGTCGCTTTGGATGATTTCTTCGGTTTAGGAAGATCGAAATCGCTATCATCATCATGGGCAGCTTTGCGTTTTTTAGGGCCTTTGACAGCAGTCTTGAGCTTCGAGGACACTCGACGAACACTCTTAGCGCTCTTGGCTCGGCGACGACCTTCATCTTCGAGCTGGAATTTCCACTCCGCGATAAAATCATCAAGATCTTTCCTCCAGATATCTTCCTTTGACAATTTGATAAGGTTGTCAACCTCTATTTCTTTCTCTCCAATCTGACGACGGAGTTTTTCGACTCTTTCCTGAGTCAAGGACCACAGAGGCATCTATTTCCATTTGTTAGCAACCAAAAATCACTACTAACGAAGAACAAAATGTACTTACCGCAAACAAATAGTCATAAGAATCAGCTCCAAGTTCTGCATCGTCGCTATCGCTCTTTTCATCATTATCATCCTCTTCGACAACCGGGGCAGTCTCACCCGCTTTGGCAGCATCTGAAATTTTGGAGAAGGCTTTGAACCCCTTTTCTTTCAACTCCTGGATGAGCTTTGCCTTGGGCTTCTTGGATATGACAAGTTTCCCGTCGATGATCATCTGAATAAATCGAGCCTGGTTGCTTAGTTTGTCGAGATCCCGTTGCAACTGCGAAAGTTGATATTGCTATTGTAGTGTTAATAAAATTCAACTAATCATTATGCGTTGACATTCGAGAATATTAATAAAATACCTTTCGTTTTTCATAAAACTTAATTCTGACAGAATAGAACTCTCTTAGGATATCCTCAGGTGAGTCATATTTGGTAATCCGACCTTCTGGATCGAAAGCAACCAAATTTGAAGTGGCAATCGTCTTGGACAGCTTGAACTTCTCCTCCAGACCTTCAGCGATTGCCTTCGCGGCATGCTTCTCATCTAACTGAATTACAAAGTGGACCTTGGTGTGGGTATTGTAATCCTTGTAATCCTTGATGAATGAGGGGACCTTTTCTGCCTTGATGATTTCCTCAAGTCTGTCCTTGAAGTCTTGAGTCCAACACCGGATGGGCAGCTCGGTGATTTCAACTTCATTTTCGCCGACTTGTGAGATTCTTCCGCTGAATTTGTATCGCTCCCCGCCAAGTGAGACGACCTCGCCGGTAAAACCTCGGAACCAAGGTTGCATAGGTACAAGCGGTTCCCCATCCATGAGACACTTCAAGTTTGCGACAATGTCCTCTGGATTGTAGTTAGGGATGGAAGTACTCCAACCCGTTCCAATACCGTCGGCGCCGTTGATCAAAACTAAGGGAACGACTGGAACATAAATCTCAGGCTCAATGGTATGCCCGTCGTCGACATTGTATGTTAAGAGAGGCTCGTCCGCAGGATGGAATATCCGTCTCGCGAAAGGTGAAAGTCGAGTATATATATAACGTGCGCTTGCACTGTCAGATCCTCCTTGTAGACGGCTACCGAAGTTTCCACTTGGCTCCAAGCAGTTGACATTGTTTGATCCCACAAAAGTCTGAGCAAGGCCCACGATGGTTTGTTGCAGTGAGACATCTCCATGTTGATAGGCAGTCATTCCAGAAACATATCCGGCAAGTTCAACAACTTTGATATCCTTTCTGACGTTGCGTTTGAAACAGGTATATAAGACTTTCCGTTGACCGGGCTTCAAGCCGTCAACAACAGAAGGTATGGATCGTATGTTGTCAGCCATACTGAATAGAATCAATTCCTTATTAATAAAATCGGTGTAGGTGATCTCTTCCGTCGTATGGTCGAGAAAAGTGCCCGGTTTAAATTGACGGAGCCACTCTTTTCGTTCATCAGCTTTCTTTTTGGAAAATGCGAGGTCTATAAGTTGCGCCTCATTGTCCTGCATGACATGGAATTGTTTGAGATGCTTATCCAAGTCTTGGAAATAGATCTCAGCATCTTCTGTCGTACTGGTACCCAGACCCTTGTAGTACTTCTTCTCCCACCGGCGATCGTGGCCATGAATCTCCTTCCATGTCTCATACTCTTGCATTGTAAAGAAAGATTTGGAAATGATTGGATTTTTGGGATCTCCTTTCCACACTTTGACGATAGGGGTGATAAATTCGATCAAGAACTGTGGGATTTTAAGCAGGCTTGGAAATGCCACCTGAAGGAAGTTGATTAATAAACCCTTGATATGGCTACCGTCATGATCTTGATCAGTCATGATCATAAGATGCCCATAGCGGAGGCCCTTCGTGTCAGTGTACTCCTTTTTGTGCTGTAGTCCAAGGAAGTTCTTGATGTTCTGGATTTCCGCATTTTTGGATATCTGATCGACAGAGGCATCCCGGACGTTGAGCATCTTTCCTCGAAGGGGGAACACGCCAAATAGATCAGGTCCAACTATTGCTCGACCGGCCATAGCCAATCCCTTTGCGGAATCTCCTTCAGTAAGAATGAGAGTACAGTGGTGGCCCTCTTTAGTTCCAGCTTTGTTGGCATCTGTAAGTTTTGGATTGTTCATGCGTGATCGTCGATTGCCGTCCGACTTCTTAAGGATTTGATCCGCTTTCTTCTCAGCGAAATGCATAATATTTTCCATAACTTGGGTTTTGATGACCTTTTTGAGAAATTCCTCTGACAGCACGATCTTGCTTCCAAATTGGCTCGGCTTCGTTGTCAACTGTTCCTTGGTTTGTGAGGTAAATGCAGGATTGACAATCTGAGAGTTGACGAATACGAATATGTGGTTCCGGATTTGGGCGGGTTTGAGGCTTGCGCCAGTCTTGTTCCTTTTCTTCACTGTTTCGGCAAGTCTGTTACATATCTGGTCGGCAACTGCATTGACATGAGAACCACCCGATGTTGTCGCAATAGAGTTGACAAAGGACACCTGCTGAAACGAGCCATCGGATACGGCAAAGCCGACTTCCCAGCGAGGGTCCGGATTGTCAAGGAGGATTTCAGTTTTGTCTTTGGCGGCTTCCTCGCCCCGTTCCTTTTTGATGGCATTGGTATACATCGCCATGTACTGTTTGAAATTGCGGACGGGAATACGAGACCCGTTAAGTTTCACAATGACCTTACAAGTTCCTGCCATGTCATAAACTCTACGTTTTACCAGGGCCTCGAAGTCATCATCGACTCCCTCCATTCCAAACTTTTTGAAGTCTGGCGTGAATGTGACCTTGGTGTAATCCTGACCCTTACAATCAGTAATCTTTGCCTTGCCCATCTTGGACATGTTATTCGTCCAAGTTTGCTTGTATTTCTTGTTTTGCCTCGAGTCCGCTGTTTCGATGGTAAACTCCGTACTGAAGATATTACAAAGTTTCGCACCGTAGCCGTTTCGCCCACCAGTTACCTTTTGCTGCATGTCATTGTAGTTGGACGAGGTGAGAAGGTGGCCAAAGATCAATTCGGGAATGTAGAGTTTCTCTTTCTAACTATTTTGTTAGCGCATTGTTTTGGGGGGGGGGGGGGGGGTTAGATTGGTTAGACTGGTATGGCAAGGCATGGCAAGGCATGGCTAAGGAAGAGTAGGCGTACCGCGTGTATCTCGATTGGAATACCACGACCATTATTCCAGACACTTATTTCACCCGATTCCCTGTTTAGAGTGACTCGGATTTCGTCCATGTTTTTGTCATTGTGCTTGTTGTCGGCGGCATTGACAAGGATCTCGTCAAATATTTTGTAGAGACCGGGGACGTAGGAGACCTCTCTGTACTCCATTGCTTCAGATTCCGAGTTGTATACCCACATTTGACTGGTAGACCGCTCGATGGACCCGATGTAGGTGTCTGGGCGTTTGATGATGTGTTCTAGTTGGGTGAGCTGTACAGATTTCGCGCGGTCAGCAGAGCCCAATCCTCCATCTTTTGGGAAAGTGATGAATATATATATATAGAGAGAGAGAGAGCATGCATCGCTTACTTTCTGGTACCTCTCGCTGCTATCTGTTGGCGCAGCGACGCCATCCGTTCCGAATGATTCATTTTCCACATTTGAGAGCGGGTTCGCGGCAGACTTCTTGGCACCCGCAGCGTTCTTTCCCTTATTTGAAGCAGCAGCATTTGGGGGGGTGGCTGAGAGGACTGATGCATCGTCTAGTGTGGGGGATCTATCGATCTCAGAAAATTCATCCTCCGTGTCTACCTTGGCCTTCTTCTTGGATGCTGCTGCGGATTTTGGGGCAGCTTTCGGTTTCGCAGAAGCCTTGGTCGTATTCTTAGCTGGTGCTTTTGCTTTGCTGGCGGTAGTGGCTCTCTTTTTGGCAGCCTTTGCCTTTGGTTTCTGTGGGCGAGGGTTCATCAGCTACATCAACTACATCCTTTGTACCATGTCAAGAGAAGAGGGATGGACGTACAGGAGCCTCAGGGACAAAATCTGAGCTGGCGCCGTCGTCATCAAAGACGGAATCCGAGGGAGAATCCATGCTCACCGCAGTGAGACGGGGGTGCGGGCGGGTTTGGCTTCAGAGAGCGCGTAGACGAGCAGATGAACGAACGGATGTGCGACAGCCAACGAGGGTATGAATTGATGTCTGACAACAGGGGAGAGGGATGAACTCACCTTGCGTAAACGAGTGTCTAAGCTGCAGGAAGAGACGCGGTGAGAAAAGAGAGAAGAGAGAAGAGAGAAGAGAGAAGAGAGAAGAGAGAAGAGAGAAGAGAGAAGAGAGAAGAGACAAGAGAGAAGAGACAAGAGACAAGAGACAAGAGAAAAGAGGAAGGGAGCATTTGTTGGTTGGCGGGGATAATCTGCCGGGCGTCGCGCGTGGTTGAGAAAACGGAACAAGAGTTGCAGCGCTGACTCAGCAGAGTCCTTGCCCAAAGTAGCAAAACAACAACATAGCCAGTCCGTTTTCAGACTAGCGTGTTCCCTGCCCCCCTGCGGCAGTTGCGCCCTGACGCCGCTTTGGTTGTCCCGGGTCGAACCCTTTGGCTACAACATCGTGATAAGCAATGAATATACACAGTTCCAGGTAAATCGGATGACTTCTGGCTTCTTCTCATTTGCCTCTTTTTTGCTTCCCTCAGCAACACTTTGTTTGTTCAGATCCATTTTGTTGTTGAGGTTGAGACTATTACAGACGGAATAGTCATTCATTCAGAGAGCGCCAGAGACTACGTTTCCGACAAGCACAGCTTTCTTCATATTTCCCCCCCAAGAGAGATATGCTCAGCCGTTGCAGTGGAATTGTGTATGGAATCATTCTAAGTCTGGACTTGAATGTGTGCTTCCTTTTATATACTCTCTTCCACGGTAAGAAGAAACTGCATGTCACGGCTTTCATTAACCCTAGTTGTTCACTCAGTCAATCTTCAGCATTTCGAAACAGATAGCCCAACAACTTTGAGCTGGCTCTCCTACATCAGCCTTCATGCTCTTTGAATCACACAGTGTTTCTCTATGATTAAACATCTGACACTACTGTGTTTGAGAATGCTGATGCCTTTCACCACGTCTTTGCAAGGATATGCTCCTACTTATGCTATTGTGGATGACAGTTTCGAGGTGTTGTTCTCTCATATCAACACTGTTGAGCTTCTATAACCAAACACCCACTCCCCCCTTTTTCCTTTTACTCCCCGTCACCCACCAAAAGGCCCAGTGAAGGGCAATCTTTCGCGCAGCATCTATTACCTAAGACTGGTAGAGTTCCAAGATTCCATTGACCTACCGGAAATCTATATACGCACGTGAACTGGTCCCCTCCATCTCACCTGTAGGCCGACATAGCCTGTTCCAGACAAACTTTACTGCTAACGCGCTACCCCAGTCCATTGTGTCGTCGATCCTTTGGTGGAACCACGTTGGACCTGCTGATCCTATCTAAGGTCATACATACTAAATACCCCGTTGGATTCGATTTCACATCTTTACATTGCCTGGAGGCGATATTGACGTTGAGGCTTTTTTTTTTTTTTTAATGCCTCCTCTCTTTCCCTCTCAAAGGAGTGCCATCGGCACTGGACTTCCTTTCCAGTTGCTCAATTCGTACGTTTGATATTGTCACACATAATGATTCCGCATGGATAGTTTGGAGATATCCTCAAACGCCAGACACGTATCTACGCCTCAATGGCGTCCGAAGTTTCCTCGATTGAGAGCTGTGGGTTGGATCAAAATACATTCATATAATTTCTCCCTAAGATTATTTTGCTCTCTTCGGCCCCTTTGGTGGAGTGAGATATACCACCTTGCAGTTCCAGTGCCATCACATAAATTCTCCAGATGCTTTGGGAAATGAGAAATTTAGAATACGAGATATTCACAACCAGCAACACTTCTCCCGAGAGCAAGAAACCGCAATCATCCGGGCCATTTTCCCGGCAACGTTGTGGTTTTGTTTGGAGAAAGTATGACGTGGTATTAGGAGGCCATTTAATGGTGACGCAGAGGCTGGATTCACGTTGCGGTAATGTCTCTATATCTGGATGAAATTTCCGGCTCATCGGACTGTTAATTATTCAGCCATACAAAATCAATATCAATTTAACGGTCTCCGCTTCACGAAGCCGTCGTTTTGAAGTGGCCCGTCCTTTCGTTTCAAGGCATACCTATTAAATACACTCTACCAACTCCAACCTTGATTTTCTTCCGGTCCATGAGACGTATTCCCCCCTCGACTGCTGTTTTTCAAGGTTCTCCTTGTTTTAGCCATTTTGGGCCATTTTTCACAGTCCAATTTTCCTTCCGTCGTTGTTCATTTGTCGATCTCTATATCTCATGTTTGGGTCCTCCACGCGGCATGTAGGGCGTAACCATGGGTCATCTTAAGCCATTTAAGTGGTAACTGGAACTAAAAACTAGGATCGACAAGCCATCCCCACATCGTAAATCGCTCCACATAAAACACCTAGGACTTCGTCATCATTGAAATCGCAACAATCTAACACACTGCTCATAAATCGTGGCTCGACAGTCGAAATAGAATTTCTCAATCCAATAAAGGGCCGCTGGTGATAGTAAAATAAATAAAAATATAAATGAGGTTTAGTCATCCTTTGTTTTCCTACCAACATGTTATGCAAATGAAATGGCAAATTTTGATAGGGTCTCGTGGTAGAGGCGCAGCTCTGCAAATGATATGGTGTGTGCATACAGTACACACAAACACAATATTCGTATAAACTAAGCCAGGGCTCCGAGTCCACCGACCAAACTATTTTGATCGTCGTTCCATTTGATCTGGTAATAGTTTAAATAAGAAGCTGTGGGTGTGCTGGTGCCAACACCGTGTTTGGATCTCCTTGGCTGAGGCTGGTAGCCAATTAATAGTTCCTGCATATGTTAGAATTCTTGGCTTGTTAATTCGGCCTCATTAACAACAGCTGTATTAAATAAAGCATATGGCAACGCCGTTTGTTCTGGAAGCATGCAACGTTGGCGGATTTGCAGCCTGCTCAATCGGGGCTGAAGAATATGCATGGCTAACCTAGCCTTGAGAGATTTACGGGTGAAATATTCCCACTTCCCCCCGCAGACGCGGGCGGATTTATCCAGAGCGTCGCACCAACCCCTCGAGCGCCTTGAACGCGTATTTAACCGGTTCACAGAACAGTTGGCCGTCCAATAAACGGAGAGATTCACCCAAAGCATCTGAGTGAAGGGGAGCAGCAGGCGGAGGGGGTTGCATCTTGCTCACCTGTGCCTCGACTCCTAAAAATTTTGACTGTGCTAGTTTATTTTCTTGTCTAACATAGATTGTCCCAACTTTATTTGCCCTCGAAAGACAAAAAAAAATTTTCTTCAGTTCAAAGTTACGAAATCTCTTCCCGCACATTCATTTGTGTTTAGAGAGTGTGAGGAGAAGCAGTCCGTAAATGAAACTCTACCACGAATCATGCCATATCATGCTAGTTAGGTGCAAGAAATGTATCAAATTCGTGGTTGGCCCACCTGAGGGAGCGAGATGCCACACTGGGATTTTCACTCAACCCCGTATTTGTGCAAGGAAGCATTCACTGTGCAGCATGGAACAACGAACAGGAAAGAAGATACCCACGACGAGCATTGATGAAATATGCCTCGATTCGGAATATTGGACGAGGATGTTTCCCCTCATGCCATGGCTGTAGATCACTCAAGATCACAGGCTGCTGGAGATTTTTTGGGACCTCGTGTTGAATGTTTTCATGATCCATTTAGAGAAACATACTGCTACACAATGGAAGACATTCTCCGAGAGGTGGTGTCTAATAGAAACCTAATCAATTTGGAGCTCCATGAATGAGGTATAAAAGGTGAGTGTAATCCATTTGCAGCATCCTCATTTATATTCGTATCATCATTATTCCCGCTGAAGAGCCATCCCCTCTAAGACCAAAGCTAACCTGAGTCCAAAGGAAACATCCACTCTAATAAAGCAAAAAGAAAAAATGAAGCTCAATCTCTTTCTCATCTGTCTCATCTCAGGCCTTACCCCTATCTTCGGGGCTCCTGAGTTGGAGAAAAAGAATGCCGGTAAGCCCCGGCAGAATTAAAACTCCCTACGCAGCGTTCATTCGGATAACGTGTTTTATTCACAACAGCAAATGCGCTAGATACATCCCCTGCCACTAAAGGCACAGGCGACGCCCTCGCTGATGGTATGTGTTGTCTTTTTTTTTTTTTTTTTTTTTTTTTTTTTTTTTTTTTTTTGTTGTAGCCCCCTCCTCCCCCGCACCCCCTCTCACTTTTACATTCAACGAGAATTGCGTGAAACTGATATCTTTTTCTTCGGTCTGGTTAGCTTGCTATTGGTGCGAAGGAGTGTGCGCTGGTTATTACTGCTGCGACCCACGTCCGAACTGCTTCTATTCTTCAGGAAGTTGCTGGTGTTCTGTCTAGTTTGGCAATTCTCCTGATTACTACCAACCGTGGAAAAGCCGCACTAGGATGCATGGGAGCGATTCCATGTGATATAGGGGAAGTTGGAATGGCTTTATGTTAGGCGGTGGAATTCTAGAGAGAGAACACTGAACATTCTTTATGCAGTATTTGAAGTGCCCGATGTCGCTCGTTAGTCTTGGAGGAAAAGTTGATTGAAACGGATAGCATGAAAACCGCATGTAAAGAAACCCAGCAGAGGTTTCATATTTTCAGTCACCGAGAAATGAAGGATGTGAATACACTTTTGAGTTGTCCAAGTGAACAAATCATTTTCGGGAATTTATCATCACAATTATTGGTGAATTACCGCAAGCTTAGAACTAAGTGAAAAACAACTCCACACACCTGGCAGATAGCCTGAGGCTATGGCCACATTGAATACTCTTGTTGGGCATTCTGACAAACTTGGAGAGCACAGATCATGACATCTCTGCAAATGACATGTGTTCAACCCTCGTTAACTTTAATTCGCTTGCAAGGCAAAGGAATCAAATGTAAGGTCTTGCAGTGTTTTGAACTCAAAACGCGTCTCAGAGTTCTCTCTGGTCATCCACTCCTTCTGGCAGCCGTGAAAGGGTCGCCAGCCCTCGAAGCGAGCTCCAACAGACAGACATTCGTCTGATCTTTGGGCGGCTCTATTGTTGGCATTATATGTTGAGCTACAAAGCGTGGAATTCGTTAGAAAATATGCAAGCCTTGAGTAGAGGTCGCACTTGAGGGTAAAGACTCCTTAGGCTTTAGCTAGATGACAGGACTTGGACCTCGCATGCTGAATAGTCACGAGTGTGATGCATGGATGAACAGGATTAAATGCTGCCTTTATGCGATACCTAAATCGTTTCCTTTGCGGTGCATATTATGTCTGTTTCTGTTCATATCTCCATGGATACCTTCAGGACTGGTAAGGGATGTTGCCGGTGCGGAGGGGTGGAAGGGTGGAAGGTGGGCTGTCATATTATTTAAAGACCATGGCCAACAGCTGCTCATGCCCACCAAGTGTAGTAGGTGTGGTCGTCGTGCCAACAACAACAATGGGTGGGTACATTGGTCGAGATCGCATTTCTCCTCTTATTATATCCAGATAGTTGGCGAGAGAGAAAACATCCAAACAAAGCCTTAAATCTGAACAACATACGGCTTGTTCTGTCCAATATAACTAGTTAATTGCAAACTTTCCGCCGTTGACCAACCAACATTTCTCAACACCCCCCCCCCACCCCCACCCAGATTGTTTAGTAAGTATATCCATTGAGAACTCTCGGGCTGGTTGACCCGCAGAAGGATAGTTTAATTCCGTTTGCCCATATTTAATTTGTTTTCCATTTTTACAGAAAACTTGGATATTCCCAAAAGTTGTTGTTCTGGTTCAAGGTCAAGTTCATGTTTGTTGAGGTTGAGGTTGATGTTTTTCCTGCTTCGGAAACTTCTTAAATTAGCCTGCAATTAGCGACCGCGTTAAAGCCTGTTTAGGTATTAGTTAACTAGTGTTGGGGGACCTGGCTGACTAACCGCTTACGGCATCCGAGAAGCCTCCCCCTTAGTTACCTGCTTATAACTAGTCGTTCACCTCCAATCTGCAACAAACATCCCAATTTTCTGCCTCTCATTATGCCATTGGTACCTGTAAAATAGTACCGCATAGATTCTCTAGTAGCGCTGCGATTTTTGGTCGCTCACCCTCTCTTGGTCTTGCAATTGTCGCCGGCGACTGCATTGCAACTTATGCACTCATTTGATTGGGCTCACTTCTGTTGTTTTGCCAGGAATTCTAGTCTTGTTTGGAACCCGCCTGGTTCCCGCGACTTGTCAAATCACGTCTGGGTCTCGTTCCACGGCCTAAAGACGTATCTCGTCCCCTGATATTGCACTGAAATGCAATTTCTTTAGCGTTCAGTTTTTACCCACCCGCCGCAGAAACCCCATTCGTTCTCACATTCACGGTGACATGGATCCGTCGCCAGATTCACCTATTGACGCTCGGTCTTCCTTTGACTCCTCCGTCAGCCGTGAACCGCAACTGACGGATTCGATGGTTACGGTACCTCTTTCGGACACCCCATACAGCCCTAAAGCTCCTGATTCCATTAGTAGTGTCTCCAATATATCTGCTTCTCAAGTTGTCGAGACCCCCCCGTATATTAGTGAGGGAGAATACACAACTGTAGAAAATGAAAACACTCCCGGACGGCAATCGAAGAGCCGATCAAGGAGCACAACTTCTTTTTCTTCTTCTTCTTCTGCAAGATCCATATGCAGTAGAGGAAGCAATGGACAGGAATCTCAAGAAGGAAGTGATTGCGTGGATTGGGGAGAGTTGGAGAAAACAGAGGAATTGGAGTCAAAGAGTGAGACAGGTGATGAGGTAAATTAACACATTGGAGATTTGAACCGTATTATATCACAGGAGATATGCTGACTGACATAGTCTACTGCTCTACTTCTTGCGAGGTTAGAACAAGAGAATAACGCACTCGTCGGAAACCCCAAGTCTGGCTCGCATATCCGAAAGGATTCCCGGCGACCGTCCATTCATCAACTCAGAAAGCTCGTTGACGATCCCTCAAGGTCTTCCCTGCGATTTTCTCAGCTCCCAACCCCTCATATGACTGATCTGGACTTTTGGGCTGCACTTGTTGCCGATTACACTCGCACGGCTCAGCGGCTGCCAACTTTGACTTCCAACAAGATAAGAGCAGGCGTACCTCCACCATTAAGAGGGGTAGTTTGGCCAAGTATTGCTGGTGCTATGGATTCAGAACTTCTAGAAGAGTTTGAGAGACTCAGCGGGGAGACCAGTCCCTACGAGGGCCTAATCGGCAAAGATATTGGTAGAAGTTTTCCTAACGTGGATATGTTTCGCGATCCGAATGGAGAGGGGCAACAGATGCTGGGAAGAGTATTGAAGTGTTTCAGCCTTTATGATAGCAAGATAGGGTATTGTCAGGGACTGGGTTTTGTTGTCGGACCTCTTTTGATGCACATGAGCGATGCAGACGCTTTCTGTGTGCTTGTGCGGTATGTCCTCCTGTTCCCTTTGTTTGGCATTCACCTTGACTAATGCCATCTTCCATCCACAGCTTAATGGATCATTACGATTTGAGGTCTTGCTTCTTGCCAACTCTCTCTGGCTTACACCTACGGATATATCAGTTCCAGACCCTCCTTTCTCGACATTTACCGGAGCTCCACGCTCATTTGGAAGCCCTGAAAATTGAGCCCGTTTATGTATCGCAATGGTTTTTGTCATTCTTCGCGGTTACATGTCCACTTCCAATGCTCCTTCGCATCTATGATGTCTTGCTTTTGGAGGGGGCTTGTGAAACCTTGATGCGTGTCGCGCTTTCGCTCATGCAGCGAAACCAGAAAAAACTCTTGGTATGCGAAGAATTTGAGGATGTTATGCAACTGTTACTCGCAAGAAACATATGGGATACGTGAGTGTTTAATCTGTTCTTGAGCATGATGACTACGTACTAATTCATTCCTCTCAATAGATATGGATGCAATGCGGATACACTTGTTCAGGATTTTGTATCTTTGACCTCCCTTGTCACACGGGAGAGCCTTAAAGAACTTGAAACCAGTTATAGGGAATCACAAGGTACCTCAACCAGTGTCTACTTCCCTCAGATGCAGGCTGTTGCTTCAAGGTTCTTGGGTCGGCTCTGGGCGGGATCTGCTTCCCTTAACTCGACTAGGCCCCTTACATTAAATCCCAACGCTCCCGCGTTAGTTTCACGCTCCTCCAGTGTTGTACGACGTACCCCATCCAAACAAAGTATGGCTTCCACACTAAATTCCTTCGAATCAACATCCGACGCTAGCACCGCCCCGACTGAGCCTTCATCAGGCCCTGCTTCCGCTGTTGATTTGACGAAACGTACCACGAAAATGACAGGAACTTCGAACCCAGAGAGGGATCTACACACCCAAATCGAGGACTTACTTATTGCTTTGACTGACATGCAACGAGAACACGCAGCCTTGGCGAAAGAATTACAAAAAGAAAGGGAGGAGCAGGAGGAAGATCAGCAAACAGCTAGGCTAATGCTTGAATGCCTGAAAAAACATCCAAGCGCCGAGCAACATGCAGACCTAATCGCCAAGGCCACCAGTCGGTTTTCTCCAAGAGAATCCCGCCATGTCTCCATTCACCAAACTAAACACCAACTGCGTGAAGAGGTGGTTATGTGGAAGGAGAAGCACGGCGTTGAGTCTTCGAGATGTCACGATCTGAGCAGACTTATTGACGAACAGAATAAGAAGTATTCTCACATGCAAGAGGAGCTTAAAGAAGCAAGGTCCCGACTACAAGATGCGTCTAAAGACAAACAACGACTTGAGAAAACCATTCAGGAATTGCGCGTGAGGAGAAACGCGCGATCAGATATCCCTCAAGAAACCCAAGGTTCAAATGGAACAGTGGATCGAAATTCGACCGGCCTTCGCGAATTCAAACTTTGTGGAGCTGGTTCGATCAACTCTATATTTTCGAAACGAACAAGCAGCCTTGGGGCAGGGGCGCTCATCGTTGCCGAAAATTCTCAGGTTTCTCCTGACGACGATCTTGTTCTTGAACTTGTTAATGCGAAAACTTCTGAGGCAGTTGCTCGACAAGAACTCGAAGAGGTGAAAGCAAAACTGGACTCGTTGAGGAAGCTGATCAGCCGCTCGGCAGACAGCTCACCCAACCGATCAGGCCCTATGGAGTTGAGTCGCAGCCTTACACTTAACACGCCTGTCCTATCCGGAACGATTTCAAGATATCCCGCCGAACCTCCTAAAACACCAACCTTGTCTGCTGGTGCGGGGGGATTTTTCAGCGGATGGACGAAACGAACCCCTTCTACTGCCTCTGAATTGCGTTAGTTGGATGTCGACTGTATCGGTAGACCTTCTTGAGCCTATACTTCGCTGTGGAGTAGATAGAAATTCCTTGGTTGTCGCTCGGTTGGTTTGAGCGGTTTTTTGTGAGTTGCTGAAATTCTGAAGCTGACCTCGTTCGAGGTCAGCATATGGCATTACCTATCTGAATACTTGATTCTGCTCCGTCCAGCATTT